TCTTTATATTTTTTATATAAATTAATTAAAAAATTACATATATTATACATTTTATATATTAAAAAACTCATTAAAAATTTAAAAACACTCTACATACATGTTAACATGGAGCATGCTCGAACTTGCGCCTCCTCCGCAAATGGGCAAGTTTACAAACCAGTTGATCCACCGCATCTGTTTTGTCAAAATACTACACAACATTATATTTATGCATTTGGATTGAGCCGGCGGTTTGAACGGTTGAACCGGTTAAACCGGCTAAACCGGGAACCGGAGGTCAAAACGGTTTGACCTCCGGGTCGGTTTTTAAAACTTTGGGTTTAATACAAGTGAAGTCCCTGGATAATTAGAAAATTGGCACAAAATATATAAAATATTTTCTTATGGCAAATAAAATTCAACTCTTTTGAAAAACTAGTTTTCCATAATTCTTCCCATTCCACTGGCACACCTTTAACGGATGTACATTAACTTACCGTTAAAATCATTAAAAAAATTCAAAAATCCACGATAATCTACTCAATTATTCTCTTTTCAACTTTTTTTAGAGCAAAATGTAATTTCATAAAATATAAACATCCTTCCGTTTCTAGAAACAATATAACGTTTTTTGATATCAAAAATAGTTTTCAAATGTTTCTAGTTTTAAGTTGTCGTTGTTAAAATTTTGGTTGAACAATTTTTTACTTAGGGTAAACGACGTCAATGGTCACTCACCTTTATCATAACTTTTAATTTAGTCACTGTTTTTCTAAACCTGTAAATTTAGTCACCAGCCTTTCTTTTAATATGCTGTCGTTCATCACCTTTGTTATATATCTCTTGCAAATTTCATTAAATGATGACATAGATGATAATGTGGTATGATGATATGGCATTTAATGAAAAAAAAATCACAATTTAGCTAAAAAAAATGTCAATAGGCAACAAGGAAAAAAATAACATATTTGTAGCAGTGACTAGAATATTTTGATTATTAAGAATGTGATGATCACATAGAGCTAAGAATCAAACTAGTTAAAGACTAGTTATGAAAAGAAAGAGAGAGAGGTGGTTAAAAATTAAACATAGAAATAAATATATAAATTTATTATTAAATTTATGTAATTGGATTCATTCTAATGTTTTTTAATGGGTTGAGGTACCCCTATACCTTCTTTTTTTAAAAATATAATTAAAAGGGGCAAAAGGTGCAAATTTCCTTAAAATTGTCATGTTAGAGCAAATCACCACAAAAAAAAAAAAAAAGAAGATGACATAATTTATCACCTCAATTTTCTATTTTTAAAAATTCAAATTAAATTTAACAATTACTGCTAATTTTTTTATTAGATTTCAAGAGAATAGTTTAACGGTAATCATTAATTTAAATTGATTTCTTAAAAATGAAAATTTTGGTGGCAAATTGTCTGAACATTTTTTGTCATAATTTGCTTAAACGCTACAATTTTGAGAGGCAATTTGCACCTTTAACCATTAAAATATATAAATAATTAAAGAAAGATTTTTGTATTGTATGCTACTATTTTGTTGTATAGTAGTTGAAAATTGATTTGTTTGTTAATTT